ACAGTAGCAGTAGTACAGTAGTAGTAATAGTAGTAGTAGTAGTAGTAGTAGTAGTAGTAGTAGTTGCAGCAGTCGCAACAGCAGCAGATGTGGCGGTGGACAGTAGGTACTAATGAGTGGCAGGTGGAAAATAATAAAGAACTACATATGACTCTCTATATATATATATGTATTAAGCCCAATGAAGTAGGAGTAAGTATAGAGACAGTACAGAGAACTAGCAGCGACCGCAAGCAACAACCAGAGCACCAGCAGTAGTGAAGCCAGAATCAGAGCAAGTGTGTCGATTTTGATGCTGGCAAACAGTGTGCAGCCCCATTCAATCCACATCTCATATCCAATCTAGGGGCAGAACATGAGAACGCAGAGTACTGCAGAGTCTCAGTGGCATGAAACCGTTTGGCTTTAGCGTGGTGGAAGAGCTGCATACAAACTATAAACAAGACAATGCCGTTCGATATGGAAGACCATTGCGGCTAGAAGTGGCCCCGCACCCCCGCACCCCCTGTATAATCTCCGCCTGCGCCCCGCACCTCCCCGCACGCTCTGCATGCCAGATGGCGTTGTTATTTGTGGCACTCTCTGCTCCACCGCGCCCCACCCCCCCATGGCGGGGGTGGTGCAGATGGCGGTGGCGACGTGTAGGTGGCACAGAAGGCGGTGGTACTGTAGGTGGTGTATAAAGGGCAGATGGTGCAGAGACCACAGGGCCCAGATCCGGCCCGCTTTGCGCCCGCACTCTGGAAGACTGTTTCAAGCCAACGGTTGCGATAATGCATGATAAGGCGACTAAGTTCAAAAGTCTTCTCCGTTCAGTCGGTGCTATACTGCACCCTCAGTTCAGTCAAGAATCAAGAGCTGTCGCGACGCAGCCTTTGAACACTAATTGTCTGGTCTTCTGTCGACTACACTCCCCCGATTCCTGTGCAGTCTAAATCTCTAAACCTCTAAACCTCCTTCGAATTGAGGCCTCGCCGAGCGCTGCTGCAGCTTGGCGGTTTACATGTCTAGAGTCTTCTTCGGAGTATCTCACTCGCTTCGCATTCCCTGAAGCTCAGGTGTCACCCTTGGAGTGAAAGCTTCTCTTAAGTTAGGCAGTGCTCGCTAGTCATCGATCCCTCCGTCTCCAAGTCTTGTCCCGAATTCCCAAGCAAGGACAATCGACTTCATGAGCTCCTCCTCGGAATGGACCTTGGGGGACTGCGCAAGGTCGCCGAGCAGGTCTTTCCTAGAACGAACTGGGCTTCGAAGACCCGAGCGAGCATCGTGACCAGGCTGGGCTAGAACCCGGCTTGTTGAGCCTTGGCTTTGTTGCACAGGGTGGGGACGAGGATGCGCATGAAGAAGCAGAGGTTCATGCTTCATGCGACCCACGTGACACCGGTGACCAAGAACTAGTGACAAAGAAGATGATGCTGAGAATCATCATGACCACCGCCGACAGTATATTGAACATCACCCTCCTCATCATCATCATCATCGTCATCATCACCACCAGCATCATCATCGTGTTCGCTGACAGCATCTCTGTCGTTCCATGTGGGGCTCCACAGCAGTAGAAGTAGCAGCATCAGTAGCAGCAGCAGTAGTTTTAGTTGTAGTTGTAGTTGTAAGCGTCTCGGCCCGAGCTTGCTTGTGCAGATAGGGTCAAAGGGTTAATGGGCTTTTGCTGACCTGTATTACTGCTGCTGAACGTGGTGTCCACCTGCTTTTGGGATCTTCGGATCGGGGTGGATGCCACGTTCAAGTCCGGGTTCCACTACGAGTGACTCCTACGAAGCCTCCTCCTCAGAGGACTGGAGCGACTTAGATAGCAATGCCATCGACGAGGAGCTGGCTGATTCTGATGATTCTATCGGTAATGCCGAACCACCGGGAGCTCATCTGCCAAAAGCTCCCTGCTCAGATGTGGACACCCAAAGGGAAGATGCTTTTTCGCTCAAGCAGCTATCTTACGTGGAAATGCTGGTCAAGCAGTTTTGCAGAGCCTACCTGGAGCAAGAGCTGCGCTCCAAGCTTCCGGCTAGACAGGCCGGAGCTCAGCTGCGTGACTTTTGGAGGAGACACAGAGAAGACGACCTCCAGTCCTCGGTGGTGGGCTTCCTTAATGGAGACCGCCGGACATCGCTGGAATACATGGTGGCTGAACTCAGAAGCAGACTTCAGGAGCCGGTACCGCACAACGACCTTACCTGGCTGCAGTCCCTGGATGTCCTGCACCTGCCGCCTCTGCATAGGCTACAGCAGGCTGCCCAACAGGCAGTATATCTCAGCCTCTGCAATACGATGGGTTATGAGAATGCAGCTTTGGTTGCCTCTACAGCCACAGACTTGGCCTTCCATACCTTCAGTATACCGGCACTGCGACTTATATGGGCACTACTGGATGATGATCAAAGACGCAAGTTGCAGCTGTGGCTCCTCCAGCACCAAATGGGCACGGCCGAGGAGCCGACAGAACGTTCTTCCTCCTCTTCCCAGAGGCCCAGGTATGAGTGACACTGCATTGGACAAGCGCCGCCTTTGGCGACGCTGGAAACCACGCATAGG